TAAACTGTTTTCCTACCCTCAACAGGAAGTTTCTGGAGAATATTACTCAGAATATTCTTAAGAATAACCTGAATACTCCAAATAGGTATAAGAGTCTAAACTGTTTCCCTATCCTCAACAGGAAGTTTCTGGAGAATATCAGTTAAAATATTCTTGAGAATAACCTGACTACCCCTAAACGGGTATATGCAGTGTCAACTTGACGACAAGAGCTGATTTCACAAGTACAAGTTCCAGCTTTAATTCAAGATCTCTACAATGGACAAGCGATAAACGCGATGCCGGAAGAATCTTAACTATTCTACAAAGCACTGAATAGATTGAGAGACAAAGAGATCAAAAGTTGAAGCCACCTACGGGTTCCTCTACACGATCTACTCAACCAAGCATTGAAAGGATCATAAGTAAGACCTATCTTATCCAAAGCATCCCAGAACTCCTCTATAAAAGATTGAGTCTGGAATACTTTGGAGGGGGTATCTGTAGGCGTCAAAAAATGCTGAAAGATATCCAAATACAGCTCAAGAGGAAATCATCCAAAAAGGCAGAAGAACACAAGTTTGGGATGTCTCGCATACGAGACAGTCTTTACTGTCTCGCCATGCGAGACAGCATTCTCTGTCTCGCAGGCGAGACAGTCTTTACTGTCTCACCAGGCGAGACAGCATTCTCTGTCTCGCCAGGCGAGACAGTATTCTCTGTCTCGCCCGCGAGACAGCATTCTCTGTCTCGCCCGCGAGACAGCATTCTCTGTCTCGCCCGCGAGACAGCATTCTCTGTCTCGCCCGCGAGACAGCATTCTCTGTCTCGCCCATGAGACAGTTTTCAAAGAAGTTATAAACCACTTTATAACCGCCGACACGTGGCCACCAACTGTTCAAGAACGTGGGGAACGTCGTGGGCGAGAATCACGTTGATAACTGCCAGAATAACGGAGTTTAAAACGTGGGAGAGCGGTTACAATGAGAAACTGCAGTTTCCGAGACAGTATTTACTGTCTCCCTGGGGGAGACAGACAGCAAATTTACTGTCTCACTGGGCGAGACAGCAAACACTGTCTCGCCCGCCGAGACAGCAAATGCTGTCTCGCGAGCACTGTTCATCCAGAGGGTTATAAATACCCCCCGAAGGCCATTTTTCCAGAGGCTGATCATTGTGATCCAAGGCTGATCATTTTGAGCAATCCAGAGCAGAGAGAGAGCAGAGGTGCTGATCTTACGGCCAATCCTTGAAATTGAGCTTTGACTTGATTTCAAGAAGAACGACTATCTTATATCGATAAGATATCGTTTCAATTTCTCACTTCGATAAATGAAGTCAGAATCATAAACCCCTCACGGTTCAATCAGAATCTGTGACTTGGTGGTCCACGAGTCAAAGCGCTCCCGGCACAGGCAAAGATCCCACGAAAGCAGTGATCCAAACAACGATCCTGCGTTTATTTTCTCAAGAGTTGTAATTTTCTTTTTTTTGTGTAAAAGAGTCTTATAAAAAGGCTGTTTTCTTTGAATTTATTGTAATCGACCGAAGATATAATGAATTCGACAACAAAACCGACTTTTGGCGAAAACAGGGGGTCCTCCTCCGTCGGATGCAGTTTCAATCCTGGCGACGATAGGGAAGAAGGAGAGGATGAATGTTGGGGCCGACTCATCCTCCGACTTTACGCCCGATTCTAAGCGCCCGGGGTGGGCTGATAACCTGCATATGTAAGAATCGCAGGAGTATGAGACTAGTTTCCCCCGTGGTACCTTCGACGGTCATGTCAGCTGTGGAGCTTGAGCGAGGTTTTTTGGGAGGCCCCTGGGCCATTGAGGTCCTTGCAGGGGGGTCCTCTTTAAGAGTTGAATTTCTTTTTTTTTTGTAAAGAAAAGGGGGGAGTAAAGTTCAGATGTAAAAAGAAGCGGAGATCCCCTCTCCCTCTCTTGTTTTACCTCCTTTCCCTCCTTTTATAGTTCATCGCCTCTGAGAGTTTGACCCTTGGCTTTGGCTATGCACAGGAGGCGGCTGAGGGGTGAGTGGACAGGTTGCTGAGTCATCCTTCTCCTTCCAAATGTCGGCTGACGATTGGAAAGGAAGTCATTCGGGTACATGAGAGAAATGTCTTCTCAGTACCCTGGATTTGTCAGAAGAGGCAGTGCATAGGATAGGTCGGGTGCTTAGTCATCCTTCTCTCTCCAGATGACGGCTGGCAATTGGAGGAGAAGTCACTCGTGCACAGGAGAGCATCATGACAATCTCTAGGAAGTGACTTGTAAGCAGAATAAGCGGCTTGGGCACGAGGTTTGTCAGAATGGAGATATTGATGGGACTAATCAATACTGTTGTGTCAATTGACATCTGAAGTGAGCTTGGTCGGATCTTATCCCTTTAGTCGAGACGGGTTTGATCTGCGAGCCATCATTATGATTTACCGACCCGATAGTCGGGTGAGCTTTGGATCGAGTGTACGGTCGAGTTGTCTGCTTGAGGAGTCGTCTTAATCACGAGGGGGCGACTGATCCCGCGCTTCGTGTCGGTCATGATGACCCTTGATCGAAAGATGACTTGTCTGCTTGCCTGGCCGAGAGACTTGACCTTGGATGGGCTTTTGAGTCTCTAAGTTGGTTTGAACCATAGCTCTCTTGGATCTACACATACATTCTTCCGACATCTCTAACTTTGTATGGTGACTTACCATAACAATTATGCAATAGGAGGGGGACACCTCATCTGTCCCCTCCAATAGTCTCATATTTTGGATCCCTATAGCAGCACTGTAAAAATAAATATGGATAAAACTTAAGCTTTAATTTTTAGAAAATAATATTTTTCTTTTTAAAGTGGATAGATTTAAAAATAAATGGTGGTGGTTGTTTTATAGTTATAAAAAAAAGCCCCATAAACATTCTTGATGTCGGATATAACTCTGAGAAAAGCCAAAATAAAAAGCTTGATCCTTTGGTTCAAAAATTACCTAAAACTAAACACTCAGAATAAAATTATAGCAAGCGGTGATAAAGTATATCAATTTTTGTCTTAAGTTAAGCTGTTAAAATACAAAATAGATTTAAATTAATATGATGGAGTATTTTGTATTTATCAAGTGGGTGAGATATAGGGTAAAACTTTGGGTTTATAGGCCTTTTTTAAAAAGTGGAAGGGCTGAAAATGATGGTCAAAATCTTGGTTTATAGGTAAAGAACCTTTAAAAATGGGTGGGTATAAATATAAATGGGAGTCAAACTTTGAGTTTATAGGTATAATTCCTTATGCAGTAACAATTGAGAAGATGCTAAAATAATTATGGCTTAGTCATTTTGATTTACAAATAATAAGTTACCACAATATATAACAAGACATAACAATTTACTACCAAAAATAATAAGTTGCAACAAAATAATAATTTACAATAAAATATAACAATTTACGATCTATACAAAGCTAATGAAATAAAAAGTGAGTTATAAATAATTCAATAGAGTTTTTTTTTGTCTAAGAGTGTTTTATAATTGGGTGAATTTAAAAATAAATGGGAGTAAAACTTTAGATTTATAAGCTAAAACATTTATATTGATATTATATTATTACAGTATTCGGTGGTGGGAGGGCTTCAATTGGAGGTAGATTTTGAGGTTTATAGCAAAAGCTTCCTATTGGCTTTTTTTTATATTTGCTAAAATAATTGAGGTTTATATACTAAAACAGTTGGGCTACAGTGGAACACCCAATTGTTTTAGTATAGAGATTAATTTTTATAATGAGTGGGTTGTTTTTCACACACTCATATAATTTTAACCTTGATTTTCTTAAGTTTAAGTGTGCGAGGTCATGAACTTCAATCAAAACTTTGTGAGACAAAGTAGCGAAGAGCCATAGGCAAAGGCTTTGATCTATCAGAAAAATATATTGATTAATTTATTTATATAAAATTGAACAACTCAAAGAAATATAATTTAAACAATGTTCCTTATTTAAATTAGTTTTTCACACAGTTCATAGGGAAAAAGCATAAATAAATATATAAAATAGTAGAATTGAGTATTGAAAAGTGAAATTAGCTGGCGTCTCACCGAGTCGACTCGAAAAGCGTTACTTATGGGCACCCCTTGATACAAGTTAAAAGGCAATGTCGACCTCGAACCCTCCGCTAACAGCGCGTCGACATCACATTAAATGTTTGGCAGACGCCATCAATTCTCCATCCCCGGCACTATTTATAACATATCGGACCACGCCGGCTTCGTGCGCCACTTATCCCATCTCATTAACGTCGAAGTGACAACGCCCATTCTGCGACCACTCCACAGCTGACGCGCGTAAAGTCGACGCTGACTCAGCCGTCAGCTCAGACTCGGTGGGGGGGAGATTAAAATGCCCCTACCGCATGGTTATAAGAGGGACGACTATTCCCAATGCGAAGGTAAGCAATTTCTGAGAACATTTCTCCATTATACCGCACCAGAGAACTCGCGTTGTTCACTACTTTCCCATTCAAGCACATCGCTGACTTAGTCGTCGGAGAAACAACGAGAGAACTAGTCCTCGTCCTCTTACGACTTGTTACGCGTGCAAAGAACAAGCATATTCGGAGAAGTTAAGGGCCCATGCTCAATCTAACCCCAACATCATCCGTGTGATTATTAACATCAACAGAAACATGTATGTCTGGTCTCATCTCATCTCATCCCATCCGTCCAGTGCAAAAACGAATGTAATAAAGGAGAATATTTATTAATTAGCCATTGATTAATAATAAAAATAAAAATAGGAGGTGGGGGTTGGACCGAGGGGGAATCGAAGGGAGCGCCGCCTGGTCTGGGAGAGGGTCGAAGAAGAAGAAGAAGAAGAAGAAGAGGAGGAGGAGGATGGAGGGATGGGACCGAGCACGAAGTCGACGCTGATCAGATCCCGCTGGCTTTCAACACGCGGGGGCCAAGGGACGGGCTGCGTGGACGCAGAGGCTGAAGGAGAGTACGGGAGCCTATCGCCTACACTCATAAGCAAATCACACGACAACGATGTTCAGGATCTTTCGCCTCCCAACCCCAGGCACCGCTGGGCCGGCACGCTGCTGGTACGTCCACAACCTCCACCGCTACGAATTCAGCCTCCAGTTCGACATCCCCGTCACCTACCCTGCCACCGCCCCCGAGATCGAGCTCCCTCAGCTCGACGGGAAGACTCACAAGGTCTTACTTCGTCTCGTCTCGTCTCCCTTCTCTTCTTATTTCCTTGGTCTTTTTTTCTTTTTTTTTAATTTCCCTAAAGGCTCGATCCAACTGATCGATTCGGCTATCCTTCCCCTCCTCAGATGTACCGCGGTGGCAAGATCTGCTTGACCGTTCACTTCAAGCCCCTGTGGGCCAAGAACTGCCCTCGGTTCGGGATAGCCCATGCCCTCTGCCTAGGGTTGGCCCCCTGGCTTGCTGCTGAGACCCCTCTTCTTGTCGACTCCGGTATGATCAAGCACAAGGATATTTGCACTCTACCCTTTGAACCCTCTCTCGTATATGCACTCTACCCTTCCACCCCGAAGCTGAAAACAAATTTAAATAAATTAGAATTTACTGTTTGTTTGGATTGCATGCACTTTCCCTTTTCTGCTCGTGTTCTGCTTTTTAACTGCCCTTTTTTTTTTTATGCTGAGAACTTTTCTTGCTGAAATCACCAATTTGTTTCTCCTATATCATCACCCGGGGAAACTGTTTTGCAACATCATCAAAATAGAGTCAGGGTCAACTACAGCTAAAAAAAATTTCTCTTATTACACCGCACTTAACAAGAGACGACGAGGGAGGGAAACGCCAAACGTCACAACATATGCACTGATTCAATTGAGTTGGCAATTGCTAGAAATGTGCTTGGTTGTACACCAGAAACAAGGAAATTGGCCTCATCTAATTTTTCCCCCCCTTTCAATTGTGCCTTCATAAATTTCAGGTTGCAGTTTTTAGGTGCTTGGATTAGTGCTAGTTAGGGGATTGATTGTCCATTTTTCTAGGCTACCAATTTTCCTATTGCTTTTTTGTAAGTACCTTATGTATGTGTGTCTTGTTCTGTTTATATGTGGCATAAGAATTAGATAAACAGGTGCTATAGACGTACGGCATCTTTAGATGATAAATATACAGTATATCGTTTAAAAAAGAAGTTGAGAGGAGGTAAGGTTGTGCAAGCTTAGCGATTCATGACATGGGTTGCCACTTTTGTCCCTTTCATACTTCTATTGGAATTGTATGCCAATTGGGTTTATTCTTCTACTTTGCACTCCAATTGAGTTGAAATTATGTATTCCAGAGATGGTCACCGCTGGAAAATTATTTTTTAATTATGCTACGAAGGCGCAGACTTCTTTGTTCCATCTGTCTTGTTATTTAGCACCACCAAAATTATAGTTTGTGTTCGTCTAAACTTGAGCATACCCGGGGTCTCGTTTACATCATAAACAAGGAATAAAGGGTAAAAGGGGGAGAAGGAAAACTCTTGAGAACAAGCAAGTGCTAAATAGGGTGGTAAGAAGTGAAAGAGAGAAAGGAAGCAAGAAGAAAGAAGAAAAGGCAAGGCACTGATAGAGGAGAACAAAAAGGAAAGTCGCCTCTCACCGCATCGCATGACTTTCACATCGCATGATAAATTTTAGATGAATATGCTGATGATTAAAATGACTTTCTGTCAAACATACCAGTGAAGAGGAAGAGCAAATGTGTCCTTGAAAGCCCTTGCTAACACTATCATGATAGTCTTCTGAATGGGCAAAAATTATTGTTTTAAAGACAAAACCATTAAAGTGCATGGGATGTAATGTAATTTAGCCTATATTATTATTTTATTAATAGGCAAGACTTGACTTATTTATTCGAAAAACCTGCATCTCTAGGCTAGATGGTGAGAATTATGTAGAAAGAATGGCATTATTCTTCTGCTTGATCTTTCCTACAAGTCATCTAAATGAAAAATTAAAAATATCCGTATTAGAGAAGGTACACCTCTGATAACCTTTGCTTGTAGAAGTCTTAGATGTTGGGAGCAATTAGTATCAGACTGTGTGATTTATTGAAATGCGTTAATATTTTGGTTACCCCTATGCTTTAGGACACAGATGCACGATATTACCTTAAAGTTTTATGTCAAGTTCGATCAAGTTCTGTACCCGAAATTCTCCCACATGTTCATTTTTGTCTCCCAAATCTTAGTTTATCAAGATATGCTCTATTTATAGTATTTTACATCTTACACCAGGTTGAAAGATTAAGCTTTGATATGTAGCAATGAACTCAAGGAATTAAGCTCTGGGATTCTGAAGTAGATAGTGGTGAGACTCTGAGATGAGAACAAGTAGTTTTGTCAAGCTGAAAGGTTGCAGAGCTTTTCCTAGATAGTGGTGAGACTCTGAGATGAGAACAAGTAGTTTTGTCAAGCTGAAAGGTTGCAGAGCTTTTCCTGTATGAATGTGGATCAGGAGACCACCTTTTGTAATTAGTCAGTTCTATAAATGCAAACTGGAAATTTACAGTTTTAGTAAAATAGAGCGGTCCAGTAAAGTGCCATGGTCCCTGTAATATTGGAGGTCGTATTATCTTTAAGATGTTTCCCCCCTTTGAAATGTAGTTTGTGTAAGTTATTCTGAACTTGTCAGCTATAATCCATGATGTAGTCAAAACTTGTCTTGCTACTCTGTATTTGAAGCATCTTTTATTTGAAGCACCACTTGCTTAGGTACATACTGCTCGTATAGCTTGTTCAAGTTAGTGGCCTAGAACCAGTAGTTTATCTCCAAACGCTGGAAAACTAATTTTACAATAGTTGAATATTATTTGACAATATTATTTGACGTGCGATAAATTGTTTTAGATGTCTACATTTGTTAGATACCTTTTAGCAGACGATAGTTGGTAGAAAGTGGACCATTTCATTGTATGGATGCTAATTCAGTAAAATTTGTTTGATAGAGGACAATTGCTTTTTCTCTTAATTGGTGATGAAAGTTGGAGCATCTACAGTGAGTTAAGGTTGTGTACAAGTTTCTCCATGTGTTGGTTTCATCTGTTTGTTTGGCTAAAAAAAGAAGAAAATCAAAGAATAGGAAATCTATTTCTAAGAAAACTTGTTTTGAGATTGTTTGGTTGGCTAAAAAAAGAAGGAAATAAAAAAATAGGAGATGAGATGAGATTAGTTGTCACCATATTATTGGATGATGTGGGTGATTTTTTAAGAAAACTTGTTTTGATGTTGATTGGTTGGCCAAAAAAATAAGGAAATGAATTATAATAAACTTATTTCCTATAACATGTTCTTTTCTTGTGTTTGGTTCATTCTTAAAAATAAGAAAATAGATGAGATGAGATGAGTTGTCATTATTCTTAAAAATAAGAAAATAGATGAGATGAGATGAGTTGTCATTATATTATTGGATGATGTGACTCATACTTAAGGAAAAATAGATGAGATGAGATGAGTTGTCATTATATTATTGGATGATGTGACTCATACTTAAGGAAATCAATTTCCTTGTTTTTTTGGAGGAAATGGATGAAAATAAAATTTTAATGAGATGAGATGAGTTGTCACCATATTATTGGATGATGTAGGTGATTTTTAAAGATGAGATGAGATGGAGATGAGATGAGTTGGATGATGTGACTCATTTCTCATGTTTGGTTTATTTTTAGGAGATCATATGAGATGAGTTGTTGGATGAAAATAATATTTTATTGGATGTTGTGAGTGAGTTTTAGGGATTGAAATGGATGAAAATAATATTTTATTAATTTCCATGTACCCATTCCCTTTTCTTAGTTTTTAGGAAACCACCCAAACAGTAAGATGGAAACTAAGCCTTTAAAAGCAAGTTGTTCTCAGTGGAGCTCATCAAAACCGAACGCAGCCTTAAACAAAATACTTCCCACTTTTTCATTGAAGTAGCTTTTTTGATTTGTTAAGAAAATTAAAAAAATGTTCTTATTGACTCAAAAGTATAAGAAAACAGACATCTGGAAGGGTTGATCCAATTTTTTTAAAACCTCGGAGATGATGCAACCACCTGGCCTGGACACTTTTGATAGAGGCAACATCTTGCAAGTCATATTTTCTCCTTGTTCAGAACTTCTTAATTAATAGAATTTTGGAGGCCTGGTCTGGGGATTAAATAAGAGAGAGACTTTCTTTCTTCGACCGGCCGTGAGTTGCATTTGTGCGGTTTATTCTAGCCAGAAAACTTGATAGGTTCTCAACTCGCTGGTGAACGTGATGCGATAGGTGCTGGTGTGTCAAATGGAACGCAATAAAAGATGGAGAAGTTGCAGGTAAAGGAATATGGCTGAATCAAGCAAGGAACGCGAAGGGGCCACACAGCTTAACAATGCCTCTAAATGCCCTAATTACGCTTTGCTTACTACTCCAAGGTTGAGGGATAAATCTGCTTAACAATGCCTCTAAATGCCCTAATTACGCTTTGCTTACGCCAAGGTTGAGGGATAAGTCTGCTCTAACATTGTTTTCTGATAGGACTTGCGTTTGCTCTGATCCTCTAACGCAACAGTAAACATCATTTGTGATTTAGGAACTCTGTTATTATTATTATTATTATTATTTCCTTTTTTTCCTTATTAGTCAAATGGCTGCTGGTGAAGGATTTGTTTCCATTACCGTCGCAGATGCTAGGGACAAATCTGTATGGACCTGCTTCTTGCAAAAAACATGTCGATTTAAATCAGGCTATTCTTTTGTTCCGTTTCTTTGATATGAGAGGTCAAATAAGACTTTAGATGATGTTTGTGTGCAAGGTAGGTTGTTTCTGCTGCAATTTATTAAAAAAAACTGAATTACAAGGATTATAAATGATTTCCTTCCATATACAAATAAAATTAGAGGTTGATGGTTTGATCTATCTCGGCCAAGGTTTAGGAGAAGCAAAGTGGAGGGATACAGGACTCCGCTCGTATGCTCCAGAGAATTACCACAGAAAAGTTTTGGGTATTGGTGGAATCTCCCTGAAACATATAAACGTTTTCATGAAAAATTGATATCAAAGGTATCCCATCAAACAACCTCAAAACAAGAGAGATGAAAATCAAAACTCATAGCTGATTGAGATGGACATTGGCATAGCGCATATATATATATATAAAAACGAGAGAGAGGGAACACGCGGGCTCATTCAGCTAATAGGCATAGGAAACTTGTCCGATATAGTGTTTTTACATAACGATGTAAAAAGTTTATATAATAGATACTTGGTGATGCAACCATTGCAATTGCTGAACCTTGTATGCCCTCTTCCTCACCCACCCACCAAATCCTCAACAACATTCTCTATTTATTTTTCAGTTCATCTTTTCTTCTTCCTCCTCTCCAACTCTTTACATAATACATCTTAAGAGCGTTTTTTTCTTCTTGGGTTAAATGGAATTCTTTCAAAAGTTGGGGCCAGCAGCAAGGATCTCCTCCGTCAGCTTGCCATCCTTGCCTATCGTGTAGCTGGCAAACACCTCAAAATTCTTCTTGAATAAACCGCCAAGCTTCAGCAGGGTCTCCTTGTATGCGTCCTTGTCCTTCCACTGTCCCCCAACAACAAGGAGAGCCAACTCAGTTGAAAGTTCAAATACATCCAAATTTTCAACTGGTATTATACAGGGTGGCGAGTTTTAAAATTGATAATGTAAAAACTTACGGTGTTGACTGGATCCAGGATCTCAGATGGAACTCCTTCAATTTCAGTTGGTATCTCGAGTCCAAACACCTCCGTCTTTTTGTAATTAACATTCAAAAGGCTCCCTGAGTGAATGGCATCGATGATCTTGCGGGTGTACGGCAGCTTGATGCGATTGCCAACGCCATACCTGATACAATGAGAACGATATTACCACATTGTATGATACATTTCATATGAAATTTCTAAATGAAATTTCCTCATCTATAATGTCAGTACGCTTGTTATATTACCTTCCACCAGACCAACCAGTGTTGACGAGCCAACCGGTGGCACCATACTTCTGCATCTTCTCAGCGAGCATTGCAGCATACTTGGTGGGATGAAGCATAATGAAAGCAGCACCAAAACAAGCAGAGAAAGTGGCCTGAGGCTCTTTGATACCGTCCTCGGTACCAGCCACAAGAGCAGTGTAACCGCTGATGAAATGGTACATGGTCTGGGCGAGGTTTAGCTTGCTCACTGGTGGCAGTACTCCAAATGCATCGCACGCCAAAAGGATCACATTTTTAGGGTGTGGGCCGACGCAGGGTATCTTTGCATTCGGTATGTACTCAATCGGGTAGGATGCTCGAGTGTTCTCTACAAAAATTATTCAACCAAAGTGCATGTCATTAGTCTACTTTTAAAGAAGAGGAAACCATATATTGCAAATATCTGCCAAAGTATTTCCTCTTTTTTTGCCCTTCCTTAGAGAATAACCTCAGTGACAAATTTATACCTGTGACGGATTTATCAGTATAATCAACTTCCCGTGTGTGCTCCTCAAATACCACATTCTCAAGTACTGCAATCAAAAGATCCCAGCCATCACTTAACTGATCAAGCTACATAAAATCTGACAGAAATGCGAGAGAAAAGCACAAAGAAGAGGATTACCAGTTCCAAATTTTATGGCATTCCAGATATCAGGTTCCTTCTCTCTGGACAAATCAATGCATTTTGCATAACAACCACCCTCAATATTTGAGACACCATTATCACTCCAACAGTGCTCATCATCGCCAATCAGCAGTCTATTGTGATCGGTGGACAAAGTTGTCTTACCAGTACCTACGTCATAAGAGGACAGAGTCATTGGAAGGCAATGTGAACAAACAAACCCTAATATGTGATATTAGGATGGTGAAAGAAGAAAGCAGGGAGGGGATGGATACAGATGGGCAGGTGACGGCGATCACCATATTCCAGCATAGAAAGCTTTACCTGAAAGACCAAAGAATAGGGCAACATCGCCGTCTTTGCCCATATTGCAGCCAGAGTGCAAGGATAAGATTTGTCTCTTCGGCATGAGATAATGCATGACGCTGAAGAGACCTTTCTTCATCTCACCAGCATATTGGGTGCCAAGGATGACCATTTCCCTCCTCGAGAGGTTAAGGTCTATGCTGGTCGATGATGTCATATAGTGTGTGTATCGGTTACATGGGAACTGCCCCGCGTTGTAAATTGTGAAGTCAGGAGTACCGAATTCCTCCAGTTCTTCAGGCGTGGGCCGGATACACCTGCCATACACGCAGGTCATCGTTTCGTGTTCTACAACATTCTCTGCTATTTTCTACCTGTTACCTTAGTTATTCCTAATATTGCATATTGACTTGCAAACCAATTGGAAAAAGGCATCTCTAAGGCTCATCTCCACACCGCTAAAACATTACTAACGTGTAAAACAGTAGGCGAGGCACATCAAAAGGACGACTTATCTGAGGTTTTACTTGAGCAGAGAGGCCCACGCACGAGAAATATAGAAAGATTGACCATAATTGCGTAAAATTAAGCTTCATGCTTACATATTATTCATGAAGAGAGAATGGTACGCTCTTGCTGAGACGATTCGGACTTTGATCTTGTTCTCAGGATCCCAATTTAGGAACTGATCATTCACAAAAACCTGCCACCAGAGAGAGAGAGAGAGAGAAAACATATATCTTGGTTAGAACACTCTTAAACATTCACTGAATTTCCAAACTCCTCGTTCACGAAAATTGTACAAGGGAAACACACAGAATTATTCAACGGTAGAGTCAAAAGAGTATTCGACGCCTTAGAATAGTAGACAGACAAAGGCACAAAGCTGAAAGTTTTACCTTGTCCAAGGAGTTCAAATAGTCAACAGCCCTCTCCCTGTTCACCAGGAAAGTGTGTTCATCCATCTCAATGTTAGGCGAGCCCCTAGAGATGCAATTGAATGAAAAGATGGAGCAGCGAGCAGTAAGAAGGGAGGGGAGAAAGTGCAAAAATATCATTAGAGCATTAATCAGCAGAGGATGATGCAGCGTAACTAGGGAGGGACTTACTTTCCCCACCAGAGCTCATCAGTGGTAGTCTCGTCCTTGACTACACGTTTGTCCCTCGGAGATCGGCCGGTCTTAGCACCCGACAGGGTGGCCAGGGCGCCGCTTGATGTTACAAATGATCCATGCTCATACTTTATGGCTTGTTCATACAGCTCTGTTACAATTAATTAGGATAACGAGAGTAGTAACAAGTACATTATTTATCTATCTATCTATCCGGTGAAGTTTTAACAAAAAGAAGAAAATGAAGGGAAGGGGATGGATTAACTACACAAGAGTAGAGGCACTAGTACGGGCGAGCGTGATTACCGGAAGGGGAAAGGTTGTAGAGGACATGGGTGAACTTCAAGGCGCTGTCGCTGACACCGAAGGCGGGGGCGAAATGGTCATGGTGATGGTGGGCAACCTTGGGTGTTTCCGATTTCTTGGCTGGGTCCCCCTTCACCAACTTGGGCCCTGTCTCCCTCGTCAGTGATGCCAACGACGCGCTGCACACAAAATAGATGCGTCACAGAGTGGGGGGAGAGAGAGAGAGAGAGAGAGCGAGAGAGAGATAATTGGCTTAGCAGTTGGAAAAGATAATTATAGGTAGTAAAAAAGACTATTGATATAAAGATCATTCAGAAACAATCCGTTAGCTATGCAGTATGCAATCGAGTTTGAGATTTGGTTGCCAAGGGGAATGGAAAAAGTAAAGCAGAGAAGAGCATGGTTCCCGGTGCGTCTGCATCCGAGTCTGGCTCTGAGATCGGGAGCCGACAAGTCATTTTCAGGTGGGCGTGCTGCAACGCACGTGCATCCTGTTAACCCTACCCCTTTACTTGACCAATGCATTGCCAATTTTATTGCTACTATATACATCACGTACGTTTATTTATTTATGGATGGTATTAACATAACTATGATGCGGGTGTGGACCAGGCAACGCCAAATGAACCGAAGCAGTTTTTTTTTCTCAAAAAGTGATTCCCCACACCTGGCCCAAAGCTGCAAAGCATCTCACGTACATCAAAATAGGCGAAGGGAAGGCGAGGATGATCGCATTTGGGTCCGCTCCACAGGAAAGCGGTGAGCCTCTCAAGCAACACCACACCGACAGCAGAGCTTATTAGCTGCTGCGGCTGGGCTTT